TTATCCTTACAATTCTGTTTCCCAAGAACCACTCCTGGCACTACACGCTTATTCGTCAGGGCTCTCTAAAGGAACATAATGTATAATAGATTTATACATATATTATGTATATATAGTGTTACATATTTAAAAGGAGTTTCATTATTGGTCTGAATAGTCCAACAAATGACTGTCTCCTGATATAAAGCCAAGGGTCTGGTGGTTGTTCAGTCCACAAGACTGGATACCTCATCAGTCCCAATCTAATGCTGGAGTCATAGGGAAGGCCTAGACAGTTTCCAGTCTTTAGTCTATGTTGGAAGAATTAGGTTCTAATGCCAGTGAAAGAATGCCTCAGCAATAGGACAGATGAACTTGCCAGCAAGAGTGAGAACAACCAGGCAAAGCCCAAGAACTGTCTTCATTTCCTTTTATTTGAGTAAAGAGGCAAAATACAGGATGGAAAAAAAAATCTATGACAGAGGGTTATTATCTAAGAATATAAAGAACTTTACAAAAATAAGTATCAAGAAAACAAATAACTCAATTAAAAATGATCATGGAACTAATAGAGAGTTCTCAGAAGATAAAATACAAATCGTTGAGAAATATTTTTAAAAGTGGTCAGAATCCCTGTTCCTCAGGGAAGTCCAAATGAAAACTTCTTTGAGATTTCATTGTATCCCAGTCAGAATGATTAAGATAAAATGAAAAAGAATTAGACAACATAAAAAAAACCATTAAACAGATGACAGCCAACAGCAAGGATGAAGGGAAAAGGGAACATTTACTCATGGCTGGTGGGCAAGAAAACCGGTGCAGCAACTATGGAAATCAGTGTGGAGGTTCCCCCGAAAGCTGAAAAGAGATCTACAACAAGATGCAGCTACACCACTTTTGGACATGAACTCAAGGGACTCCATACATCTTACTAAAGAAACTGTCTGCTTACCCATGCTCAGTGCAGCTCTAATCACAACAGCCAGAAATGGACACAGCCTAGATGCCAATCAGCAGATGAATGGATAATGAAAATGTGGTACATTTGTATAATGGAATGTGGTTCAGCCGTTAAAAATAAAATTTGCAGGCAAGCGAATGAAGCTGTGAACAATCATTCTGAGTGAGGTAACTCAAAAAGACAACGATCACATGTCAGATGTCAGATTCTAAGCTTTAGATACATATGTTTCAATTGGAATATCCACAAGAGTTACATAGCCACTACGGGACAATGCTGGAGGAGGGGATCTTTCAGGGATGGAGAAATAAAATATAGTGTTATAAAAGGGGGAAGGGGAAAAATCAAACAGGAAGTGGAGGATGAGAGGGTGGGGTAGAGGAGGGGACATGGGGAAGGATGACTAACTGCCGGGGCCCAGTCTCAGCAGTTTCGGGGGTCGGAAGGACAGGATACCTGGAAGGCAAAGTAACGACTCAGAGACTGTTCATGGAAGCTGACAGGTCACTTCCGGCTTCTGCAGTTGCTATGTAGCTTCTTTGCTACAGCTTCTTTAGCTTCTGCTTTTGACTTGGTAACCTCAGCCTTTTATTATCATAAGCAACAGGAAACAGAAAGAAAAGGGGGAATCACCCAATTAGAATATTCTCATGATTCCAAAGGTTATTCTTAGAAAATCACCAATATATTCATCATCACAGGAACTATCCCAGACTTAACACCAAAGCAAGCGTAATCTATTTTTATTATTAATAATTATACAACCTTCTGAGCACTTGACCCAGAGGCTAGCAACATGCAATTTCGCAGAAAAGAACAGTGGTCAATGTACCAGACAGTCATTTCCTTCTCACACAGTCTGCTCCGACCTCAAGACCCCTGCAGCTGCCTAAATTCCTCCTCAGCCCTCTGTAAACACCCAGCCCTATGACTGGTGGGCCACAATGACCTTAGACAAGAAATCTGCCCCTGCAAGTCAGCAGCTTCTGTCCTTCGTATTCCAACAATTCCAAGGAAGACCTGATCCAATTTTCAGAGCTTCTATGAAAGGAAGCTCACCTTTCCTGGCAGCTTTTTTCAATCTAGGAACCCAATAACGCTTGTAGCAATCACTCCAACCGTTGCCACATTGTCTCCACACCCCTTCATGAGGAATCAAAATATCTGGATTAAAGTTGCCATCTCCCTTTCTTGGTGGAGGCCACTATTTTCCTCCTATTCTAAATTCCCACACTTCTCGTTTGTCATCCCATCTATATGTTACTCCATCCACAATCTTCAGCCAATACCCCTTAGGGTCTCAAGTTTTATACAATGCCCTTGGAATATCCTCAGAAACTGAATTATTCATCATGGCCAATGATACACATCATACCCTGTACTATAGTTGACCACACATTCGGTAAAGTTTATCCAAGCCTAAAAAGCTTCCCTAGGCTGCAGGTTCTTTCCCATGACCAGCACAACTGCCTTAACCCCAGCCTGGGTGATCATCTCTGCATAATTTCCTGTGAAATTTACTTCACTCCTTTCCTGTATCACAGAAATCATCATTGATCTAGGAACACAAAACATGAAGATCAGATAGAAAAAAAAGACTAGCATCACAAGAAGCAATTTTATGGAGGAGAACATGACATGTGCATGCCATAAAGCATGACCTTGGGACGTGTCGGCGTTTCTGCCTGGCCCTCTAGAGGCATGCTAAGTAGAAGATCTGGAGGGGAATGCACGGAGGGTTGATGGTCCCCTTTTCTCCAATCTCTCCTGGCAGCACGTCAGGCATCTTATATGCCGTCCCTGGAAACTAACACTAAAGGCCTTTGTAAAACCAGGTGGAAACCTACTCCTACAGAAGCTTCCTAAAACATGTATATATATAAAGAAGAGTTTACTTGAGTTATCCTATAATGGGAGATTAACACCTCAACTAGACACCATTCACTACCAAATAACAAGCTCAGTACCAGGAATTGGTTACCTATTTTGGAATTGTTGGCCAGTGAGTCTCAGGCATTACAGGTTATTTACAATGTTGTTGGTTACTATCCAGGTCTTTACAACAAGGCCCAATAAGACACTGAATACTTGAGTCATAGACCTGCTACAAGGACATAACATCAAAACCACTCTTAATGACTTATCACGATGTCCATAGAGCAGCACATCGCTCAGTCCTCTTCAGAGTAACCTCTTCTTGCAGCAGTTGCTAATTAACACAGACACAACTCATCAGCACACAGAGACTGAGAAGCTTCGAAAGCTCAATCCTACATGTGATGTTTCTATCTCATCCTTCCCCTCACACTTAGGGATCTTTGAAGAAGAGCAGATGGAAAGATTTTAAGAGGCAGAGGCAATAAAACTTCAAGAAAATGGTGTTTTCTAAATACAGCACGGCATATGACCATATGATCTCATAAAGATTGTGGTAACATGCACAAGACCAGAGTAAGCTCAAGACATACAAAATTGCAGCATGGAGGAAAGAAAGTGGGTATGAAGTCCCACCCCTAGCTGAGAAGCTATTGGCATTTGATTAGTGTTGGGAGAGGGAAAGTTGGTTTTCTTTAATGATGTAACACATGGTATAGCAACCATTTTCCAGGACAGGCACAAAGCCTAAGAGTAGGCAGCCAACACAAACTGGACTTGAAGTGTGGGGGGGGGGGGGTGAGGGAGAGGAGGAGAGGGAGGAAAAGGGAGACAACAAGGGAGGGAGAAAAAGAAAACAAAGTTGAGTGACTAGGAGTGGGGTGGATCTTGGAGGAGTTGGAAGAGAGGAATATGATCAAAATACACTGCATGAAATCCTCTAAGAATTAATAAATGCATTTTTAAAACATTAAAAAAACCAAACAATATGGAGTAGCTATATTAATTTCAGACAAATGCCAAGCTTAGAATAAAAAAGATCAATCATAGAAAGAATGATATATCATCATAAAGGGTCTAATTTACCAAGAGAACTCTAATTTTTAACTACATGTTACTTGCAACACGGCCAAAACACATGAAACAAAAGTTGACTGAACCTCAAAGAAAAGAGATGAGTCTACTATTCCAGCTGGAGACTCTAATACTGTGTTAGGGATGAACTGATCCAGCAGTGAGGAATGAATTGAATACCACTATCAATCAATAGCCTCTAATTGACATTTATAGAATAATTCGTTCAACAACAGCAGAATGCACAATCTTCCAATTTTACATACTTACCTTCACCAAAATAGATCATATTCTGGACCCATGAAACATATTTAATGCATTTAAGATAATAAAACCAAAATTGTATGTGTCTATATTGGCTTTTTGTAACATTCAATCCAGTAATGGATCTAGGCACTGGGTACCATTAGCAAATTTAGAAAAAGAAAATAATCTAGCTACAATCATCATGATAGGCCAAAGCACAACTTGTCGTCAAATGAATTGAATCCAAGGCTAACTGAGTCTTTGGATTCAGCTGCTCTTTTGGAGAATGTAGACAAGGCAGGGAATTGTATTGAGCTGCACAATGCATTTGTAACCTAAACAGGAGGAAACTCTACAGGCAGAGGAACTTAGATTTTTTAATAGATCAATTGTGAGAAAGAGGTGGAGGATCTACCCTAAGAGTAAAAGTTAATAACAACAATTTGGAAAACTAAGCAGACTTATAGTATAATGTTGAGTGTATGTACTTGGATGGCAAAGCCCGGCAGAAATGCAAAGAAGTACCTATTACAAAAATCAGTGTAGTTATTCATGTAGAGGAAGAGGCAACGTGTGCTTTGGAAGAATTTTTTTTTTTTTTTGACAGGGTTTCTCTGTAGTTTTGGAATCTGTCCTGGAATTTGCTCCATACCTCCTATCTGTGCCTCCCGAGTACTGGGAATAAAAGCATGTGCCATCACCACCTGGCTTGGAATAATTTTTAAGGGGTTGTTTGAAAGTATTGTTTCTCAGATGGCTACTGTGACAACTGCATTTGACTTGCAATCATAGTTAACGTCTCTGAACATTCGTTGTGTCCTAGTTTTCTGTTTCGTTGAGGAAAAAAAAACAATCAAGGCACACACAAACTCAAGAAATATTTAATGGGGGAATATGTCCAGAAACTTGAAGGGAAGAAAGTGCATTGAGTGTGGAAACCCAGGTTTTCGTTTGTTCTCTCCTGGCCAAATGCAGGCTTAGGTGTATCACCTCGCAATGAGTTTTCCTAGTCTTCTTTCCTAGGCTTCTCTGCTCAGCAACAACGTTTACCATAAATGTCACATCTGGGAAGATAACAGAAGGAATCTGAGTAGGGCTGATGAGCTAGTGAAGTGTTCCTCCCCAGGTTAGGTGGACAGAAGCTAAAGAAAGACCAGAGTCAGTTGGGTTCACCTTTTCCCACTCCCCTGTGTTCCTGGAAGAAGACAGTGGGCACTAGAGGCATCTCCAGAATATTCTCCTTTTTGTCAACTGTTTCTTGGTTTCTTGCCTTGCAATAGCCTGGCATTCTCTTCATAGTGTTCAATGAATTTCTGGGGTTTGGTGTATTGTTGTTCTTTGTGTATTAAAACATGCCAAAAGTTGTGTGATATCAAAGTCATCTTTTTATTAAATTTGAGGGTCCCTGCGTTAATCAGAAAACACTATCTTAGTCCATGCTTGCTGATCCAATGCTGGAATGTACAAATTATTTCCCAACAGGATCCAGTCCATTTAAAAAGAATAATTCCAGCTTCAGTGAGTGACATTTCAGAAGTAAAGCCTTGGAAGGAGCCTCATGTACACGAGTCTTGTATGTCAGATATAGCCTTGACTGCTCACGGTCAAACACATCAACTTTGCTTCTAGGTATAGATTTGACAATGGATGTCCATTGCATCGTGGGAATAAGGTCAAATTCATGCTTTCTATGTACTGGTCATCAAAATGCAACAGTTATTACGCTATGAGAGAATTGTCAAGCCATGGGATTTGAATGCCTATCAGGCATGGAAATGGATATCTGCAGAGTAATGATAGTTAAATACTGTGCTTACACACAAGCCTGGCTTTGCATCTGCAGAATATTAAAACCCCAGGTATTCTCTCTGGAAATATTGGCTTTGATCCAAACTTTCTGTGACTACAAATTCTTTAAGTTCTGAGAATTAACAGACTCAGTCATAATGTCTTAAAGATGTGTCTAGAGATGTTGGAGCACTCTTCTCATGCAATCTGAGACTGAGAATACCAAGTTTATATATGGCTAGGGTTAGAATATCCCATTATTTACAAAGTCTCTTTTGGACTATTGCATTCAAAGGGTTGAGAAAAAGGAAGATATTAACAATGTGTTTGTTATTAACCACATATCATATCATTTGCTTTTTATATGTCATCTACAACATGTTGTATCACCCTCATTTTAGTTATTAGAACAGCACACCTGAGAGTAATTTTCTCTCAAAAATCAGCTGGTAGATTTCATAGTCAGATTAACTGCATTATCTATGTGTTCATGTACATGTGTGTATATGTATATGTATGCATATGTTTGTGCACCAAAGCTGAAATTTTAAAGTATTTATTATGTTATTTAATTGACACAGTAATTGTACATATTAATAGGGTAGAGTGTGATATTTCAGAACACGTCTACAGTGTGTGATGAGCAGATCAGAGTAATTAGCATATCTGTAACTTTATACTTTTGTGTTGGGAATATTCAAAAAATTCTTATTCTTGTAATTATTGTTAATCATAGTTATCCTGCAATACTTGAGAAATTTAAAGTTATTCCTTCCATCCACCTGTACCCTGTACCTGCCTGTTACCCATCCTTTTTCTATTATTCATCTGTATCCTTCCAAAGCTCTGATCATCATTGTTCTATTCTCGACTTGGACAACAGCTTACAGGAAGTCTTGATACATAGTGATGACGGGGCAGTAGCAAGGTCATGGAGGTCTCAGGGGTCTATTTCTTGCCTGAGTCCCATCTCCATGACTTTCTAAGTCTTATCACTAGAGCCTCTGCGGTCTGGACAGGATAATACAAACAGGTTTTATCTAAATAATGAAGTTTGAAAACAGTATTATGTTGACTTATCTAGGATGAAAGCATCTATGTAATATTATACTTACCTTTCCAAATCTTGGGCCACTCGGGGAGATGTATAGGAACAGAGCTATCACTCTGAATATTTGAAGCATCTGCTACTCTTGAACCATTCAGACTAGTGGTTCTCAATCTGTGGTGGGTCTCAACTCCTTGGGGAGATCACATATCAGATATCCCTGCATATGGGATATTTAAATTATGATTCATAACAGTAGCAAAATTACAGTTATGAAGCAGCAACAAAATAATTTGATGGTTGGGGGGTCACCACAACATGAGGCACTGTATTAAAGGGTCGCAGCATTAGGAAAGTTGAGAACCACTGATTTAGACCATAAGCCCCAAGGATTGGAACACCAGCATGTCCATTTTGTGAGTTGATGTGGAGGAAGCGAAGGGAGTTATGGGTTTATTCTGTTTCTTCTTGGAGAGCAATGGTTTCACATAGCATTCAAATAAAGGAGGTGCTTAGAAAGCTGCCTAATTCAAACATGGAGCTGTGCTATGAGAATGTCTGGGAAGAGGCGGGGTTACATGTTTCCCCAAACCTTTTCATACTTAGAGAGAGATGAGAAGACCCTGGAAGTTCAAGGCAGGAGCTCCCTGAGCTGCACATTGCTTTCCCGGGACATTGTGGCCTGGGCCTTAGGCCTTTCCTCATCATTGTGATGCTTGAACATAGGCCTTTTGTAAATTCTACAATGGGCCAACCACCCAGTTTGTTCGAGATTCTCCCACGTTTCGCTGTGAGAGGCATGTATCTCAGGGAAGCCTGCTTACAAGATGGCTGATCATTGCATTTACAGTGGAAAAATTTTGGCTAGTTTCTTTCCTCTTTGAATTTTCTGGTGTGTCTCTTTGTGTTCTCAGACAAGACTCTTAAACGAACCACACCATGATGTGCCAAATCACATGGGATTCTGGGGACCTTGCCCACATGTGTTCTGGGACGCCATCCTGGTCTCCACCAGCCTCCATCCTCATCACGTGTCTCTCTGTTTTCACTTGTCCTCCTTGTTTACCACACCCTGAACATCATAACTCTGTTACCTCAGGTGAGAAGGACACCACCAGTTTTGTCCTTACAAGTTAGTTAAGAGCATATGGCTTCTCACATACTACATGGCTCCTTGCTATAGATAACGGAAGTGTTAACTCTTTATCTTCCTGTTTTTACTCTTGAGTTGGTCTTCTTGATGGAAGCCAAAGACTACCTTATAAGTGTTTGGGTGGGAGCTCCACCTCCATCCCTGGCATCCCTATACCCAGAGAGTCTGGAATGTTTGGGTGGGAGCTCCACCTCAACCCCTGGCACCATGGCAACTCTAGACCCAAAGAGTTTGGAATGTTTGGAAGGAGTCTAGTGGAAGATCCACCTCAGCTCCCCTCCCCTATCTCTTTCCCTAAATCCGCCCCTTCAGAGCCCGCCAAATACAGCTCCTCCCCCAGAGAGCCTGAAGACCACTCCCACAGGGTATATAAGCTGCATTCCAGAAAACAGACATGTGGTTCTTCCGGTCTCTCGACCCTGTCGCCTCTCTGAAGGGCCGGGGAATCACCAGGGAATGCTTCACCCGTTAAATTGGGACTTTTCCTGCTTCGGTCTAATTTGGATTTGCTGCGCCGGGCTGGCGGAGAGGCCTTCAGGGTGCAAAAACTTATCAATAAGGAGTAAGGAGAGCAAACCAATGATCGTCCCGGACTCTTTCTCTATATAACAGATTTTCTCATGCTGCTGCAGAACATTTTTTTTTTTTTTTTCTAAACACGGTTTCTCTGTGTAGCCCTGGCTGTCCTGGAACTTGCTGTGCAGACCAGGCTGACCTTGAACCCAGAGGTCTGCCTGCCTCTGCCTGCTGAGTGCTGGGATTAAAGGTGTGTGCTACCATTGCCTGGCTTTCCAGAGGAGTTTTAACCCCACCTATCCTGTATGTAAATGTTGAATATGGGGCTTTTGTAAGGACCAGGAATCTATGGACCTCTTATCCAGGTTCTGCTGGAATCACTTTAGATCTGGTTTGACAAACAGGATCCTTTCTGCTCGGCTGCAACTTGCCTTTGCTCCTCTTTGCCAAGCCTTCCATCTTAAATTCCAGTGAGATAGAACTCACATCATTCTTTTGACATTCATCATACCTGCTAAGGAGAATCCTTCCACTCTAGAGCAGACATTAGATTAGACCTCTAGCTGTTGGAGTGTTCACCTTGAGACCATTGCTAGCCCTTAGTCCATCAGCTGTAGGCTCAGAGGGATCATGATGTAGATACCTGTGCTGCACCCTGAGATAAGATAGCAAGCAGCCACAGAAGGTTATCTCAGTGGTGATGAAAAGAAAAACAACCCACCTCAGGACTGGAATACCTAATAAAGTGATCAAATCTCAGAACTGTATGGATTCATATGGATAATAAGATTCAACTCTAGCCATTTAGAAATGTAGATAATAGGTTATATATTGAAAAAAAAGTCAGAAGAAGTTGGGTTTGAAGTTGGGGTTGTTTTTGCCAGTTGACCTTGTGAAAGTTGCACCATCTTTCTTTCCTGTAAAATGCAGTGTGAGAAAACTTGACTTTTGAGACTGTCATAAAGAATAATATCATAAGCACCTGGAACACAATAGGGTCTTCATAACCACTGGTTTCCACCATGGACTTAGCACTTCATTCTCCTGTCTCTTTGTCCTCGGCTGTCACAACACACCATGATAAAGCATGAAATGGGCTTTTCAATCAATGATCAATTCTTCCCTGGACAAAGTACAAGCGGCTTGGATTCAGGTCTCCTGCAGTCTTTCATCAATTTCAAGTCTGTTATGTAATACAAACACATGATCAGAAATCTTATACCTTAAACCTGAATCATCAATCTCACCACTAATGGGATACAGGAAAAAAAATGCTTTCCCCTGGAAGATCACAAAAAGGTCACAGTCTTGTTTTCCCCAGATAGATTTTCTGTCATATTAAATACTAATGTTCTGCTGGGAGGAGAGATTACTGTCCTTCTGAAAATAATAGGCATCTCTGTAGCTGTGCTACTCAGCTCTTCAGCCGGGCTGTGAGCGCCAAATGTTTGTTGGTTTCTATCCTTTTGAACCACAGATGAACAAAAGCACATGGCACTCAGTTTGTGGGAAAGTCACTTTCAGTTAACATTGTCATCCATCCATTATATTCATTATCAATTCTGTCCTCTGTCCACCATCTCCTTTTCCACTCTGCTCCCCACCCTGACATTCAAAAGGCACACAAGTTATACCTAAAGAAAGCTTTTCAAACTGTTTCTCTATGTTCATTAATATATACATGAGATGGAGTTGTATGTATTCTTTTATGTTGTATAAAAGAATGTTTTATTTAATTAGTTACATTTATGTTGATACATGTAAATAAAGTTCTGTACTTTGGGGCCTGAGATCTTCATTTTATAACATCTACATACCACTGTTTGTTTCAGTCAGAAAGGCCACCCAGGTTAACCCCAGATCTTTGTTATCCTAAATCTGTCTGTATGTCATTGTGACTATGTTCGTGGGATATGTGACAGCTGCAGATCTAATTTCATGTTTCTGTATGTAGACACCCAGTGTCCCAGTACCATTTGTTGAAGATGTTTTCTTTACTCCAACTTACATTTTTTTGGCATGTCTGTCAAACATGAAGTGGCTGACCTTATGTATGCTCATGTTTGGATTTTCAATTTTGTTGTGTTGGTCTACATGTCTGTTTTTGTGCCAGTACAGTATTGTTTTTATTACTATAGCTTTGTAATGTATCTTAAGATCTGGAATGGTAATTCTTCCAGCATTGTGTTATCTCCTCCCTAAGGATTTTTTCAGCTATCTGGGGTCTTTTGTGGTTTCATTTGAATTTTAGGAGTTTTTTTCTATTTCTGTAAAGAATAAGATGGCGATTTTAATTGGGTTTTTACTTTATCTGTAAACAGTTTTTGGTAAAATGATAATTTTCACAGTATTAATTCTATCAGTCCAAATGTGTGCAATGCCTTCATCTCTTTCTGGTGTCTTTCTCTACCTCTTTCTTTAGAGGTTTACATTTTCCATTGTAGAGGTTTTTCACTTAATTGGTTCATTTCACTCCTAGATATTTTACTTACTTTAAGACTATTGTGAATGGGAGTGTGTCCAGGAGGTCTCTTGTTGGTGGTTTGTAGAAAAGCTATTGATTCATGCAAGTTGATTCTGTATCCTGCCACATTGCTGAAGCTTATTGTTTTTAGGAGTTTCCTGGTAGAAACTTTGGGATCTCAAGTGTATAGTATAATATCATCTACAAATATGGATAGTTTGACTTCTTTATAAGTATGCTTTTGATTTCATTCTCTGGCCCTATTGCTCCACACAGTACTAATAGCACAATGTTAAAAAGGGTGGAAAGAGTGGACATTCCTGTTTCATTCCTCACTTCAGTGGGATTGTTTTAAACTTTTATCCCTTTACCATGATGTTGGCCATGTCTTTCTTGTATATAGCTTTTATTATGTTGAGGTGTGTTCCCTCTAGCCCGATATTCTCTAGTACTTATATCATGAAGGCTTGTTGGATTTATTTTCAAATGTTTTTTTTTCTGCATCTATTGAGATGATCATGTGTTTCTTGTTTTTAAGTCCTTTTCTGTGGTTTATTAAATTTAATACATTGAACTATTCTTGTATTTCACTGATAAAGCCAACTTGGTCATGGTGGATAATCTTTTTGAAAGTGTATATGTTTGTATATGTTCTGTTTGTATTTTATTATATTTTTTTCATCCATTTTCATTAGGGAGACCGGCCTGTAGTTTTCTTTTTTGTAGTTATGTCTTTATCTGGTTTGGGTGTTAAAGTGATACTGGCTTTATAGATTGTAGTTTGAGAGTGCTCATTGTGTTTTTTTAAATTATTTTAGGAAGGGATAGTTATAGACTTCTTTTGAATATCTGGTAGAATTCTGTGAATCCATCTGGTCCTGAATATTTTTAGCTGGAAAATTTTTTATTACTATTTCAATCTTCTCATTTGTTATGGGTCTGTTTATGTTGTTGCCTTCTTCTTGGCTTAATTTTGGTAGTTTGGTTGAATCTCAAGATACATCCATTTATTTTAGTTTTCCAGCTTAACTAAGTACACATTTTAAAAATATTCCTGTATAATATTCTGAAGTTCTTAGGTGTCTAGTTCATTTTTGATTTTGTTAATTTGGGCCATCTCCTTCTTTTGGTTAGTTGCAACAAAGTCTCAATTTTGTTTTAGCTTCTCAAAGAACCAGCTCTTAGAATGGCTGATTCTTTGTATTATTTTCTTTGTTTCTGTTTAATTGATTTCTGCCCTAATTGTTTCTGTTTTATTATTTCTTGCCATTGAGTAGTTTGTTTGCCTCATTTGTGCTTTTAGAGTTGTTGTTGTTTTTTTTTAGTTGATCATTAAGCTATTTATTAGTGTTATTTCTGGTTTTTTGATACATGCATTTAGAGCTATAAATTATCTTCATAGGACTGCTTTCTATATGCCCCAGAGGTTTTGTTGTATTGTATTTTCATTTTCATTTATTTCCAGGAAGTTTTATTTTTTTCTTGATTTCTTCCTTGATCATTTATCATTCAGTAATGTGTTGCTTAACCTTCATGAGTTTGCATATTTACTAGATGTTATACTTTGTAGTGTTAATTTTAATTTTTACTCCATTATGGTCAGATAAAATGTAAGGAGTTGTTTTAATCATTTAGATTTTGTAAAAGTCTGTTTTGTGTCTCAGGGTGTGTTCTATTTTAGAAAAGATTCCATTTGCTGCAGAGTAGAATGTGTATTCTTTAGTTTTGGATAAAATATTCTGCAGATATCTGTTAAGCACATTTGATGTATGATGACAATTAATTCTAATGTTTCTCTGGTTATATTTTTTTTTCTCTAGATGATCCGTTTGTTGGAGAAAGTAGGGTATGGAAATCACCTACTATTAATGGACTAATGTTCATCTGTGTTTTTAAATCCAGTAGCAGTTTTTTTTTTTTTTTTATGAAACTGGACACCTCTGATTTTGTTGGATACATATTTAAGATAGTAATGTCTTCTAGGTTAACAAGTTCCCTTGATTATAGTGAAGTGTCTGTCTTTAGTCTTTATCTTTTCTGATTAGTTTCAGTTTTAAGCTTTTTTTTCCAGATATTAGAATAGTAACACCTTCTTATTTCCTGGTCTCATTTGTTTGGAGTTTTGCCCATGCATTTACTCTAATGCAGTGCCCATCTTTAAAGCTAAGATTTATTTTATGTAGGTTACAAATAGACTTTTCTCTTGATCCATTCATTGAGTCTGTGTCTTTTGATTGGAGAGTTGAGGCCATTGATATTTCAAGATTTTATTGAAATGTGCATGTTAATTGTGGTCCTTATGATATTGACCTTTGGTGGTGGTGTTGTGTTCTCGGTGATATTTTGTCTTTCAATAAGTATGGTCTTGTACTTCTTTCTACAGTCTCTCTGCTATGCTCATTCCTCACTTCAGCCTGAAATATCATTTCATATTTTCTTTGGGTTTAGTTTGTTGGATCTAATTTTGTTTTTGTTTTTTTGTTTTTTGTTTGTTTGTTTGTTTGTTTTGAGACAGGGTTTCTCTGTGTAGCTTTGAGCCTTTCTTGGAACTCACTTTGTAGCCCAGGCTGGCCTCGAACTCACAGAGATCTGCCTGCCTCCCGAGTGCTGGGATTAAAGTTGTGCACCACCACCGCCTGGCTTGGATCTAATTGTTTTGGGATGATTTTGTCATAGAAAGTTTTGCTTTCTCTTTCAAATATGGCATATAGTTTTGCTGGGTATATTATTTTAGGTTGGTAGTCACAGTCTTTTAGGACTTGGAATGCATTGCTTTAGACTCTTCTGGCTTTCCAAGTTTCTGTTGAGAAATTGACTATTGTTCTGATGGTTTTCCTTTATAGGTGTGGCTTAGTTAGGTTTTTATTGCTGTGAAGAGACACCCTGACCATGGCAACTCTCACAAAGGAAAACATTTAGTTGTATTGGCTGGCTTACAGTTCAGAGGTTCAGTCCATTACCATGGAAGGCAGCATGGTGGCATGCAGGAAAATGTGGTGTTGGAGCTGAGAGTGCTACATCTTGGAGGCAACAGGAAGTCAACCTCCTGTCACACTGAGGGAAGCTTGAGCAAAAGAGACATCAAAGTCTGCTCCCACAGTGACACACTTCCTCCAACAAGGCCACACTTCTTAACAGTGCCACTCCCTTTGGGGGGCCATTTTCTTTCAAACCACCACAATGTGGCCTTTTTTCCTCTCTTGCAGGTTTCAATACACTTTCTTCTTCTTTTTTTAAATCTAAACTTAGCATTTTTAAATGCTATCTGCCATGAAGATTTTCTTTTCTGGTTTTGTCTAGTGTTCTATGTACTTCTTGTATGGACTTGTCTTAATTCGGGGGACTTTTCTACTAAAATCATGTTGAGATGGAGTTTATGCCATTGATTTCAGATTTATCTCTGCCTATAATTCAAGTTTTTTTTTTTTTTTTATGGTGTCCCACCATTCCTCCATGTTTCTTTTCTATTTTTTTTTTTTTAATTTTCATGATCCTTATTATTTGGTCTCAATCCTCTGTTTTCTCCTGAAAGCTGGTATTCTATCTTCTGCTTGATTTATTGTACTTTAAAGCTTTTGTTTTAGTTTTCTAGTTGGGCCATTTATTTCAGCTTGAGTCTTCCTCAGGGTTTCTATTTCCTGCTTAAATTCTGTTCTCAAGTCTTGGATTGTCTTCATCATTTCCACCAGCTTTATGTTTATGTGTTCTTTGGCATCTCTCAGGTCTTTATTCTTTCTTAAGCTCTCCCTCCTTGATTTTATTGAGCTGTTTCTCTGTATCTTCTTTAAGTTCCTTTAGTTCTTTGATGATGTTTATGATTGTTCTTTTGAATTCTGTTTCCTGCAGTTCATCAAGGTAGTAGTTCTCATTGGCAAGCATTTCTCCAGAATTAGTGGGTTTGGAGAGAAGATTCTGGCTTGGTATTTCATATTGTTGTTACTCTTGTGATGAGACCTGTGCACGTGGACTGCCTTTGTTAATTCTAAGTTTGTTATGGGTAAAGCAGGATGGGGAAGAAGAGATGTGAAGGCCGGTTGGGTCTTGAGTTCAGAAAAGGCTTGGGTGTCAGATGGACAGAAGGGACTGGGCTAGTGTACAAGTGCTTCCTGTTCTATGCTGGGAGTGTGGGGTAGATAGTTCTGAGTTGTAAGGTTGGGTATGATGTGAGAGAGTCCAATGGTTTAGGTTGTAGGTATGCAGTTCCTGGCCCAAGCCTATACCTCCTCTGCAGTGAAAGGTGGGGAAGGCCAGACTAGTCAAGAGCACCGATTGTGAGACCCAGCCTAGATTTGGCAGTTTGTAACAAACAAACAAATGGGAACAGAGTGTTTAGAAGTATTTACTAGTCTAGTCCTTGGCAGAGAACATGGGATGTCTGGGTATGTGGTGGAAATGGTGAAAAGGGACCTGTGGGTGATTGCAAGTAGGACAGATCTTGGTGGAAACATAGAGGATGGCCATGGTGCAGGCCCAGGTTCCAAGCTAGGCCAGGGCAATGTCTATGGGACCCAGGCTACATGCGGCAGGTTGTAAAAAAAAAAAAAAAAAAAAAAAAAAAAACTGGTATGGAGTGTTCAGGTGTATTCACCAGGCCACACCCTAGAGGATGTGGGTATATGGGAAGTCTGGGTATAATGTAGGGTGGTGGTAGCAGCCTATATTTGTCTTTGAAAAACAGAAATTGCCAGCTCTGAATGAGTCTAATCCGACCATTTTTCCCTTTAGTGTATGTATTTTGGTTCTTAATTAAGAAAGATTTCTATGCTTGACTTCGAAAGAACATTCTGCCTCTTTTCCTATTAGCTAAAGTTTATTTTCCTTATAAAACTTTAAACTATCTGATATTTTATTTTTTACGTGTGTAAGTTAGGAACCAGCTTCATTTGCCTCTATGTTTATTCAGTTCATTTGTCTAATACTATCTACCAAGCATATCCTCTACAGTATAATCACTGATATAGCCTATGTCCTGAGCATGTATGTGGCTCTTTGCCAGGGATCCAAACTATTTCATAGATCTTATTTTCATTCAAATAGCTATGGACATATTTGGAGACAGGAGATCACTATATATCCCAGGGTGGCCTGGACTTACTGTATAGCTCAGGCTAACCTTAAACTCAGGATTCTCCAACTTTAGCTCTGAGTGCTAGGATTGTAGGCCTGCATGACCATGCCTGCACTTATATTACAATATATATTATATATATTATATTACATACTAATTATATGTAAATTTAAAGTAATCTAACCATCCTATCATATGTTGTGTTTCTACAACTTGTTTACCAAATCATGACTTTCTAAAATTCATTCCATTTTAATATAATATTTTTATTAGGTTTTTGAGAAATTCATACATGCCTACAGACCTGAACCAGCAGGACTAAAGTCCTAAACAGTGAGCTGTTGAGTGAGAGGACCAGGGATGAGGAATAAAGAAGACAAAGCAATAGTTGAGACCAGGAGGCTTTGCATAAGCTGATGACTTATGCCAAGCAATTTTATTAAGAACAATAGCATCGGCTTTTTGGAACCCATTCCCTATGGTGGGATGTTGTTGGTTGTTTTTTACTCTTTTGCTCTTCTGGGGGCCTGCCACCCAACTCCCAAATAAATCACACACGGAGGATTACTGTTACTTATAAAATGCCTGGTCTTAGCTTGGCTTGTTTCTTGTCAGCTTTTCTTAACTTAAATTAGCCCACCTACCTTTCGTTTCTAGGCTTTTACCTTTTTTTATTTCTGTGTATCTTCCTTTCACTCTTACTCCACGGCTGGGTGGCTGGACCCTAGTTTCCTCCTCTTTCTCTTGCTCCTTCTTTTTGTTCTCTCACTCTTTCTTTCTCCCAGATTTCTCTTTCTATTTATTCTCTGTCTGCCAGCCCCACCTATCCTTTCTTCTGCCTCATTATTGGCCGTTCAGTTCTTTATTAGACCATCAGGTGTTTTAGACACACAAAGTAACACAGCCTCACAGAATTAAACAAATGCAACACAAAAGAATGCAACACATCTTTGCACCATTAAACAAATGTTCTACAGCAAAAACAAATGTAACACATCTTAAAATAATATTCTACAGCAGTGGGATACTTCGCTCAGCCTTGATGCAGGGGGAAGGAGCTTGGTCCTGCCTCAACTTAATATGCCATGATTTCTTGACTCCCATGGGAGACTTTACCTTTCTGAGGAGTTGACATGGGAGGCTAGAAAGGAAGTGGGGGGGAGGGCACAGGTAGAGTGGAGGGAGGAGAAACTGTGGTTGGTATGTAGAATAAATTTTAAAATATAATTAAAAAAGAACTATCGCATCATATATACTGTTTTGAGGGGGTAAATAGCTAAGGTTAGCAGAGAAATAAACCAGACAATGTTGACTAAGAGAACAAGGGATACCTCAGAAACAGTTGCCTGAGAACTGATAAACACAGCCCAGGGGGAAGAGTTGTGTCCCCAGAAGCTGTGACATTGACTCCTACAAAGGCATTGGCTTAAGTGTTAGTCAGGCCTTGCCAAGGCCATTCCTAGAGAAGGACACAGAACTAAAGTTCCCTTTGTCCTTTCATAGAACCTCTGAGAAGGTATTATATTGGTCTGGCTCCCTACAGCACACAATGCATTTTGATCATATTCAGTCCCCACTCTTCCCCTTAACTAACCCCAGATCCTTCTCCTACTTCCTTCCAACTTTATTTCATTTTTAATAGCCTCCTCATTCCTATTTGTTCTGATATATACTCATGTATATGGGCTTATCCACTGGAGTATGGTTGATCTTCCATGCACTATACCTAAAAGAAAATTGGCTCTTCCTCTTAAATAGTTTTGCTACACTGATCACCAGCTAGGCTGTGAGCTTCAAATTTTTGACAGCTTTTATCCTTTAAAGCCCAGATGATGTGGGAGCTCATCAACTCTGAACCAACAGTTAGGGAGCCTGCAAAGGACCCTCTGCATGTGTGTGACAGTTGTGTAGCTTGGTCTGTTTGTGGGGCTCCTAGCAGTGGGATTAACACCTGTCCCTGGTGCTTGCACTGACTTTTGGGAATTCATTCCCCATGCTGGGTTGCCTTGCCCAACCTTGATGCAGGGGGAGGAGCTTGGTCCTGCCTCGACTTGATATGCTATGCTTTGTTAGCTCCCATGGGAAGCCTGCCCCTTTCTGAATGGAGCTGGAGGAGGAGTGGATGAGGGAGTAGAAGGGAGGTGGGAGGAGGGAGCAGGAGGAGAGGAGGGAGGGGAAACTGTGGTCAGTATGTAAAATAAATGAAAAAAAAATTTAAAAAATAAAAAGCCCAGATGAATAAAAGTAACATATTCCCCAGTTTGTGGCACAATCACTTTCAATCAATACTAATTTGCATGTACCAATAACTTCTCAGCTAGGGATGGGAGCTCATGAGCCACACCCACCTCCATAATGGAATATAGACTGGCTTGATCTTGTACAGACAGTCACAGGTGCTGTGAGCTCATGAGTATAGCAGTCCTGTTAGATCCAGAAGACATTTTGGGGGGGAGGGGGTTCTGGCTCTTCCTAACCTCTGGCTCCTATGATCATTCAGCCTCATATTCTGTAGTGGTCCCTTGTTTAGTAAATTATGAACTCCAATAATTCATTTCTTAATTTTCTATAATTAAGATGATTGCAGAAACAACTACTGGTTATTAGAAAGAAACTGAATATATAGACTAATAGGCAGCAAGGCAATTTAAAATAAAAAAAACACAAGTAAGGCAAAATGTCTTTTAAACAAGGTAAGTTGAATTTATAAGTTCAATTCCTCTGAAATCAGAAACAAAATGACAGAAAACAAACTGTCCTTGCAAAAGGCTGAAACAGAACTGGTTATGCTCACTAAGATATATTCAAACATTTGAAAAATGTGAGAGTAGAGGGTGCAATGGTCAGCAGTCCCCAGAGTGTTAAGCGGCCATGGGCAATAAAGTCAAATAATGAAACAGAGACTATTGCAGCTGCAGAATAAACACGAGATGCTTTTAAAACTCACTGAAAAGCAGACAGTCTTAGAAATAAAAATGTGGTGAGAAAACAAATGTTTTATAATGGTGGAAGAAGATACAGAGTTATTATTCTCACAGAAAGTGTCACAAATGCAAACAGACGAACTATAGTGGAAAATTCTCAACTTACAATTTGGAAGGGCCAATATCCAAATCACCACCACTCTAAAATATGAGAACAGAATAAAAAGAAGGAATAATAATAATTAGTGTGTTAGAAATACATCTGTGATAGAACACTTGCTTAGCAAGGCCTTGGGTTCAACGCTGAAACACACACACATACACACACACACACACACACACACACACACACACACACACACACTGCCCACAAGCAGACATTAAATAGTACCATAAAGATCGTTAGCTATTTTTAGCATGAGTCTTCAGATTAAAAGGTCCTATTTCACACCTGACACAATATAAGAGAGGGGATTATCTAAAATTAACCACTGTGTTATTTTAGAGCACTGCAGGAAAAGGCCGGAATATGTACCAGAAAGTGACAATTCAAAAGGTGAGTCATTAAAATGTCCCCAGGCAAGAAACAATTCCCTCACTTTTCTAAAGAAAAAATATTTCCAATCTAGGCTTCTGTATAACTCACCCAGTCAATCTAAAATATATTTAGATATTAAAGTTTCGAAATATCTGTTTGCCTCCTGCAGTGCCGTACATCCTTTCTAAGAATTATTTTCTCTACTAAAATGTGAGAGTAATGATAACAAGCAGAGTTACACAGAAGTGTGTATGAGACCTAACACATTAGTACAAAAGCAAGAAGAATTTCTAGGTCAATGGTAAGAGTAAACTGCAAGATGATGGTTAGAAATCCAGCTTACCTTTCCCTCTGACGGAGAGGCTATGCCATGAATCTGGGTGTCACCCAAAGGTCACTTGTTGAAGGCTTGATCTCCAGCTTGTAATTACTTTTTAAGATTCATTTTTGTTCTTATTTAGTGTGTGTGTGTGTGTGTGTGTGTGTGTGTGTGTGTGTGTGTGTGTTTCTCTCTTTTCATCACAGCCCCTGTGATGTGAATAGGCCTCTTCCAACATGTGATCTCCAGCGCAATGTGCTGCCAAAGACCCAAAGCAACAGGGCAGAAGACCTCAAGAGAACCCTCTGACACTAAGCTATAAACAAGCCTCGTTTCCTTTTCGTGTGGACTGGGCAAGCTTAGCTGTTGTCGTTTTTTCTTCCTTTTTTTTGTCACAGCGATAGAAAGCTAAGGCAAAAGTGAAGCATTGATTTGCTAAATTTGTGAATAGGTTTAATTTAACATTCATTGATAATTGAAACTCAGAAACAACCATAGAGAACTTAAATCTAAAACGCTAGATGATTTGGGAAGTTGTGTGAGACAACTTCAGATATCAACTCTGACACAAGAAAGAAAAATGACCAATGGTAAAAATATGAAAACAATGGTCAAATTCTCCTTCCACCCAATATGCCTCAGACCCATACGGTGCCATGTGAAAAAATTCTGCTGTACTCCCAAGGAATTTGTAGCTCGGAGTTGGCACACTATGCTACAGAAAATAGAACTTGAAAATAAGCTTCCAAACTCATTTTATGAGTTAATAACCCTGGTGCTGAAACAGAACAAATAAATTACAAGTGAAGAAAATGACAAACTGATTTCATGGTGGACATTCACTCAGAAACCAGAGATGCAGTGCTAGCTAATTAAGCCCAATAGTGTAATTTAACATTAATGAAACAGAATGGCTATATAGGGTTTATCCCAGGAGCAAGAACACACCCAGGAAGAGTCCCCATCAGATTCTTTCACATCAGGAAATATCCCAGGGCGATCTACAACCGAATGGACAGAAGAAATGTGTTTGCTTTTTTTACATGAAAAGTTTAGTGTTACATGAACTTAAAGCTCATGAAAAATAATCTGGAACAAATTTGATAATCTGGCAAAGTTGCCAAATAGGCAAAGAAGTCATAAGAATAAATTGCATTCCTCTAAGCCAATAATAACCACTAAGAAAATACAATATCAAGATTTGGTTTATAGGAGAAAGTCTGTAAATATTTAGGATAATCCACCAAAAAAATCATTTGTGAGATCTGCATATAGAAAAAAGCCTTTGTAGTAAAGGGCCTGCTTTTTAAATTAATTTACTTGAAGGACTTGTAGATTCACATGCAACTGTAAAAAATAGTCTGCACATTTTTTGACAGCTCCTCTAACTCTTCCCATACACCCAGAAGACAGACACTAAGAGAGCCCACTGTTTGATTTGATTTCACTGCTTTATGTCTACATATATGCACAATTTATGTGCTGTGTGGACCTGTGTATGCTCATATACAGTCTGGTCCTATGTGCAAGCTTATGTCTCCACTTCAGCAACAAAGGCACGGAGCACACCCACAGAGTCCTCAAGCTATCCTTTGGTAGCCATGCTTTCTTGCCTCCCCTCTCTATGACTCTGACATCCCTAACCATTGGCACTCACTGGTCTGTCTGCCCTTGTATGACTGTCATTTAAATGATAAGAAATAAGGGAAATTACTCAGGAGTTCATCTTCGGAAACTGGGCTTCTCTTCACTCAGCATAATTCTCTTGAGACCGGTCCAAATTGTTGTGTATTGATCAATAGATTTTTTTTTTTAAAAGATACTTTTATCACCTGAATCTGTAGCACAGATGTGCCACACTTCATTTCACAATTTTCCCACGGATGGACATTTGGTTTGTTTCCAGCATAGCATTTTAGAAACAGTTTCCATGAACACCCACGTTCAGGTATTATGGGAGCGTGAGATTTCATTTATTAGAAAGGAATGTGTGCTGGTTGGTTTTTGTCAACTTGACACAGATCGAGACTCATCTCAGAAGAGAGAACCTCAATTGAGAAAATGTCCCTGTAAGACTGGCTCATAGGCAAGCAAGCCTGGGGGACTTTTTTTTTTTTTTTTTGGATGATGATGACTGATGTGGAAGGGAGCAGTGCCATTGCTGGGAAGGTGGTCCTGGATGGTATCTGAAAGCAGACCGAGCAATCTACAAAAACCAAACAAACCAAACACAGTAAGCAGCGCTCCTCCACAGCTTTTGCTTGAGCTCCTGCACTGACTTCCTTACGTGATGGAGTGTGACCCAAGAGCGGTAAGAGGAAATAAACCCTTTGCTCTTCAAGTTGCTTTTGGTCATAGTGTTTTATCACAGTAACAGAAACTCTAATTTAAAAAAAAATGCCTATGGTGCAATTGCTGGTAATTACATGGGTTTCCTTGTGATGCTAGAGATCAAAGCCAGGGCATAGTGCATGCTGGGCAAGCACTTTACTAGTAAGTGATGCCCCAGCTACCATTTGCTTGCCTCTGTAAGTAACCTCAGACTACTCCCAGAGTAATAACAACATTTCATATTCCCATCAACAATAAGGGCAGCTTTTAAAAAGATGTAAACACAATTAAGGGTATGTTAACAAAACTGCAAACAGTCAGGTGTGATGGTACATATCTTTAATCCCAGCACTCAGGAGGCAAAAGCATGCAGATCTCTGTGAATTTGAGGCCAGCCTGGTCTATATTTTGAGTTCCAGGCCAGTCAAGGCTACACAGTGAAAAAACAAATAAGCAAAACTAACAAACCAATTATCAAAGTGTGGGAAAGGTACAAATGTAGACGTGCCTCCTGTCGTGATGTGCTGTTATGAGCCCAAGGCAAGGGACCCAGGTAGCCTGGACAGAGACCTCTAAAATGGAGCTAAAATAAGCATACTCCAAGCTAATTATTATTATTATTTTTTGGTTTTTCGAGACAGGGTCTCTCTATGTAGCTTTGTGCCTTCCTGGAACTCGCTCTGTAGACCAGGCTGGCCTCGAACTCACAGAGATCCTCCTGGCTCTGCCTCCCGAGTGCTGGCATTAAAGGCGCGCGCCACCACTGCCCAGCTTCCAAGCTAATTATTTTACCTATTGTTATAATTGTAACAGATGGCCCACTAACACAAATCTCAAATTCAAGCCAAGGCACTATTGAAGGATTAATTTCAAAGTCTTGTAGTTTTCAAAGTCTTGTAGTTTAAACACATAGAAAAACAACATAAGCCAGGTGGTGGTGGTGCATGCCTTTAATCCCAGCACTCGGGAGGCAGAGCCAGGTGGATCTCTGTGAGTTCGAGGCCAACCTGGTCTACAGTGCGAGATCCAGGACAGGCACCAAAACTACACAGAGAAACCCTGTCTCGAAAAACAAACAAACAAACAAAAAACAACATAAGATAAATATAAACTTACAAATGTGCCGGCAGGCTGCAAAGCAGGGAAAAGTACCACTGGCTGAGAAATCTAGAAAAACAGGAGCAGGAGATCCATAGAAAACTTCGTTGCCTGGGAATATGGGTCGTGAGCCTTATGAATAGTGATGAATTATGTAATTCTGATAAATGACAATTGACATAGACTTTTATGTGTAGTCAAATAGCTTTCATAGATTCTGGGAAGACTGAGAAAGCTTCAGTGTCATTCTTAAGGCTCCTGACTCCCAGTAGATACACAAAGCCTGGATTCCACAACATCAACTGTAACACTTGACAACCTGGAATTCCTGAGGTCTCAGAACACTACGAGGAACCACTGACCTCCCAGAGCATCTGTGGCTTCAGTAGAGGGAATAAGTGGTGTCTAGAGATCTGAGACTGTTGTGAGTGGTCTTGGGTACAGGGTGGTCATCTAGGGGTACCACTAAGTGACTTGCAGTCAATGGGGGTGGGATGGGGATGTGGTCTCAGGCCTCTTCTATCCCTACCCCCATTGGCCCCAGCTTTGATCTCTGAGGCTTTGCCAGAGCCACCATACACAGGCTTGGATGCTGTGGGCTGCTAAGGTCAGGAACCCAGCCATTAAGTACTCAACTGGGATTCTCCATTGTCACCTTGGGTACACAGCATATGTATGAGAGTGCTTGTTCCCTCAGTCCTTCCTCTTAGAGATTGGCACCAGATACCTTTGTGAATGGGATGACCACTATGACATCTTAAGTGATTCCCCTATGGTCTCCTGGGACACAGTTGACCTTGGAGTGCAGAAGGCAAAATTCTGTCCCTTTTAATTCCTTTGTCCACATTGGTCTAACCTCCAAATATGCTTATTCAACACCAAGATGATGTTATACCCATCTATTACCTTTTTCTCCCTTCCTTCCCCCTTCCTTCCTTCCTTTTTTCATTTTATTTTGACAAGGTTTTACTGTGTATTCTTGGCTGGCCTGGAACTTGTTGCTTGTTATGTAGACCAGGCTGGCCTCATTTCACAGAGTTCTACCTGGTACTTTTAACTACAGTGTAATACTTAGATGAAGCTTGGACCAAAACCCAAACACTTTTAAATAAACTTTGATTAGACGTACTGGTTTGTTCTTGTATGTACAGGCCAGTTCTCATAATGGTTAGGAAGGGAAGGCCAGTAACTTCATTGGTTTAAGCTGGACATCACTTTATTGAACTTTTTAAAAAATCTTTTGAGATATATATTTTTTTTACATCTGTCTTAGTTATGGTTTCTATTGCTGTGAAGAGGCACCATGGCCACTGCAACTCTTATAAAGGAAAACATTTAACTGGGCCTGGCTTACAGTTCAGAGGTTTAGTCCATTACTGTCATGGCTAGAAGCATGGTGGTATTCTGGCAAACATGGTGCTGAAGAAGGAGCCAAGTTTAACACATGGATTACTGGGCAGCAGGAAAAGAGAGTAAGCCACTGGGCCTGGCTTGAACTTCTGAAATTTCAAAGCCCATCCCCAGTGACACACATCCTCCAACAAGGCCACAAGTCCTATTCCTTTCAAACAATGCCACTCCTTATGAGTCAATGAGAGCCATTTTCACTCAAGCCACCACAACATGTGTGGGTGTTTTGGCTGCATATATGGCTGTGCACCATTTACATGCATGTCTGTGTACCATGTGCCTGTGGAGATCAGAAGAAGGTACAGGATCTTCTTGGAACTGGACTTACCCTGTGGCTGCTGGGAATGGAATTCAGGGTGTGGTTGTTTGAGTAGGAGTGACCTCCATAAGCTCATAGATTTGAATGATTACTCAACAGGCAGTGGTATTATTAGTAGGTGTGGTCTTGTTGGGGTAGGTGTGGCCTTGTTGGAGGAAGTATGTCACTGGGGGTGGGCTTTGAGGTTTCAGAAGCCCAAGCCAGGCCCAGTCCTCTCTCCTCTCTCTCTCTCTCTCTCTCTCTCTCTCTCTCTCTCTCTCTCTCTCTCTCTCTCTCTCTCTCTTCCTGCTGCTTGCCAATCCAGATGAAGAACTCTTGGCTCCTTCTCTAGCACCATGTCTGTCTATATGCTGCCATGTTACCTGCCATGACATTAATGGACTAAACCGCTAAACCGGTGAGCCAGCCCCAGCTTAATGTTTTCCTTATAAGAGTTGCCATGCATCAACAACAATTGAGGTAGATGGGAAAGCTGTCCCCATACTCATCTGTCATGTGGAAGAATGGGCAGGGGACAGATCTCCCCCCCCTCCACATATACACACACACCTTAGCTCTCTAGGGAGAGCTGGCCCTAGAGGTCATAAAAGCTGGAGAGCTGTCCCTGCCCCTCACCAGTTGCAGCACTCAGGAGAGTGGCCTCTGCATCTCTACTGGCCAACACAGCAGAGCTGGCCCCAAGGTGTAGGTATGCGAGAACCAATCCCGAGGACTTGAAAGCAGGAGAACTGACCCCACCCCTTGTTCATCAATGAAAGGGGTGAACTAGCCAGGGAAGTGCTGGAGGACTCACCCTGGTAGTGAAGACAGGGGAGAGCTGGCAGGCTGACCAACCCTACAACTACCCAGGCCCAGAACAACGGGATGTCCAGGAAGAGTCCCAGTGAGGGCCCAGTGTCGATAGTGTAGCAGAGACCAGAGGCCTTGAACCAAACCAATGGTTCTATGCGATGAAGACCTGCGTGTAAAGATGTTTGAATAAAGGGGGTTTACTGCATGACTCACTGTGTCACACTGCAGCTTCCATGGTGAGATTTTCCCCTTTCTTCCTTTTTTTTTCCTTTTTTATCTTAAATTTCATTTTGTTTTATTTGGCAGCAGGGGGCATGGGGGCAGATTGCAGGGGCAGAGGGCAGAGGGTGGGTGCCAGGGGACAGGAGATGGGTGGGATTGGGATGCATGATGTGAAAGACACAAAGAATAAATTAAAAAAAGAAAGTTAAAAAAAAAAAGAGTTGCCATGGTCATGGTATCTCATCACAGCAGTAGAAACCCTGACTAGACACTGGTCCTCTGAAAGAGCAGTTAGTGCTCTTAACCACTGAGCTCCAGTCTATTGAACTTTGACCATACAAACCTGAGTATCACATACACCATCTCCAAGTCGCATCTTTTACATGACTTTTACATACTTGCTCACATTTTAATACCCTGCCTGAGTTGTCTAGTTTTCCCTTCCATTATGAAAGTGTCCAGCCATCTTAATCCTCACACACAAATTCTTCTTAGGAAAAAAATATTTCCACCTTTGCCTTCTTTTAAGGCTTTCTTTTACCTACTAACCAGTAGGAAATTCCTAATACCACGAGACTTGAAGAATACTAACAAATAAATTTACCATCTGTTGTGAGAATTTTCTGCCTAGTGGGGGACTACCCTTGTTTATCCCTTCCTCACAAGGCTGCAAATGACAAGCCCAAGTTCAGTTTTATCAGAGTTCATCTTGAGGACTTAATGAGCTTACTTATCGATATGGGTGAGGGGTTCCTGACAGAAGCATGGGAGACCTTAAAACAGCTAACAGGAAAGTTTTCACTCAGCCTGGACAATGGCTTTCTCACAGAAACCTAGGTGGAGCCCCCTCTCCCTAGCTGTCTCAGTTACGTTTCTATTCCTGTGGTAAAGACACCCTGACCAAAGGCAATTTGGGGAGAAAGGGTTTCTTTCATCATCCATCATAGGTAGTCCATCATCCAGGGAAGTCAGGGCAGAAACTTGGAGGCAGGAACGGATGCAGAAGCCATGGAGAGCTTCTGCTTGCTGGCTTTCTCCTCAAAGACTTTCTCAGCCTGCTTTTTTACAGCACCCAGCACCACCAGCCCTCTTGGAGCACAACCCACAGTTAGCCACACCAGGACCCTACCATACCAATCATCAATTAAAGTAGGGTAAGATAGAAAAACATATTGGATACTGATTTATTGATTCATTTAGTGATTTACTTAAGGCACTGCTTGTACTGCCTATTTGCCAAGCATGACTTACCTTGTTACCTGGAAAAAAATGACCTGGAGAAATAGATGAAACAATGGATCATTGCCCTTAACAGCCTGCTGACTGCCATGTACTCTTCTGTGAAATCTTGCTTGTCTGCCTCCTCTTGTAGTATCAGATTATAAAATGAGAACTCAAATTGGATCCAATACCTAGGACTTTAAGGAACAATTATTGCTTCAGTCCACTGGTAACACCTTTCTTCCACTCTCATTGGTGCTAAGAGTGCTTATTCCAAAAAGAGCCACGAAACACAATTGAGAAAATGATCCACAGGACGGCCTGCAGGCCAAGGTGCTGGAAGCATTTTCTCTGCTGAGGTTCTCTCTTTCCAGATGATTCTAACTATGTCAAGCTGACATAAAACTAGTCTGCACAACTGATCCCTCGTCAACTTGACACACAAACACACCAATTATTCTACTATTACTTTTCCATCCTCATTTGTCCCCAAGACAACATGTTAATATTAAAATTACACTCAAACTTTCCAACTTTGAAATGTCCCACGGTCTTTAAAAGTTCAATGTCTTTAAAATATCCTGTCCTTTCAAAGTCTCTATAAAATACCCAGTTTCTCTAAAAATTCCATTCTCTCTTAAATTCCAAAGTCTCCTAACTGTGGGTTCCTGCAAAAATCAAATCATATTAAGTAATTTCTTACTCTAAGAGGGAAGAACAATGGCATAGTCACAATCAAATAAAAAGCAAACCAATCTTCAACAGTGTAAAAACCAGCGTCAGAGTCACGATCCTATGGGCTGCGAGAGGTTTCCTGTCTCCAGCTCTGCCCTTTACAGCACACACTAACTTGTCTCATAGGCTAGGGCTGGCTCCACTCCACAGCTGCGGCTGTCCTTGGCAGTCACCCCACGGTACTGTAATCTCCACATTGTAGGGTCTCCACTGGAACTGGGCTGTGCCTTCGAAAATAGCCTCTCTTGGGTTCTCTTTGGGGACTCTGTCAGTGGGACATGGTGCCAATCTCTGTAACTGAAGAGTCCCGGAGCTTCTACATCAACAAAGGCTGTACCTCCACCAATGACCTCTCCTGGCCTTTCACAGTGCAAAGCTTTGGCGGCTTTCCCTAAGCCTTTCATATCTTCAAAAGCAGTAGTATCTAGGAGATCCTTACATATTATCAAGTTTGGCTGCCAGCATGAGGTACAACTTGGCCACCATCTGGACCACAGGTTCAATGTGCTGACCCTGAGAAAATGCTTTCCAGAATATTTCACCTCTGTGAGGTTGGTGTCCTTTTAACCATGCTAGTTTCTCAGTTCCAGTAACCAGTAACAATTGTTCCCCAGTAAAGTGAAGCTTTTATTTCAGTGGTGCTGGTCTCTTGTTGATCACAGGTAACTCCAGATCCAGCCGACAAGGAACTATAGATTCTTAACATAAGATATCATATAAACGGCCCCTGTAGAGTCTTTCCTTCCCTCCAAACTTCACAAAACAGGTCCTCATCTCTGCACTGCTGTCAACATACTTGTCTTCCAAGATCCCCCTGCTTTCTGAGCACTCCACGATTTTTTCCAGCCCACAGTTCAACTGCTACAACACTCCTCCCAAAAACACACGGTCAGTTCTGTCATACTAATATCCCATTCCTGTTACTAATTTTCTGTTTTATTTGGGATTTTAATGCTTCGATAAAATACCACGACCAAAAGAAGCTTGGGAAGGAAAGGGTTTATTTCACCTTATAGTTTGTAGTCCATCATCCACAGAAGTCAGGGCAGGAACTCAAGCAGGGAAGGAACCTGGAGGCAGAAACTGAAGCAGAAGCCATGGAGAAATGCTGCTTACTGAATTTCTCCTTACGGATTTCTTACCCTGCTTTCTTATAGCATCAAGGACTACCACCACAGTGAGCTATACCTGCCCACATTAACCATCAATCAAGAAAATGTTCCATCTGCTTCCCTAGTGGCCTATCTAATTGGAGCATTTTCTCAACTGAGGTTCTTTGTTCCCAAATGACTATAGCTTGTGGCAAGTTGACATAAAACGAGCCAGCACTCTAGTCTTACTGTCTTCTGTAGACTATGTATTTTGACATCTACCCAATGCCAGAGGCCTTATACGGTTAGGGAGGAATTGAATATAACCAGATAAGAGGAGTGACTGAATACGTAGGTAATAACCCTGTACACTCTTCATTTCTGTAAAAGAATAGCAACAGCCCACAGCCCAGTTGTGATGATCTTTTGAAAGCAAGAAAGCTGAACTAATGAAGATAAAAGCTACTTAGCTCAAAAGATAGTGCCATGTAACACCTCCTAGGTAAAATAAAGTTGGATCTAAACTGTGTATGTTGGACAATGTAACACATTTTGATTACCTATACATATTTTTAGCTACCAAGGTTTTTTTCCCGACAAGTTTTAAGCAAATCTTTCTGCTTGGACTTCAACATCTTATTCTTTCTGTGGCCTCCCCAAAACCTGAGAATTACCTCTCCATCTCAAAAATTCACATTTCATTCAGAGCCTGGGGACATTATCAAAATGATCTTGGTGTGAGGGAACACTCCCTGCAAATTAAAGGCAAAAAATTAAGTATGCACAGAGCCAAAAAATACTAACATTTAAGCCTAATTATAGTTTTAGATGATAAAGGACATTCCTCACTCTTGTCTTAACTTGGGTAGGGAGGAATGCACAGTCTCACAACTAGGTAAGTCATTTTCTTGCCCTGAAATCTAGTAAAGGTTCCCGGTGGAACCCCCTAAAAGAGAGCCCCAAACTTTCCTAAACCTTAGGAAAGGTTATGAGGGATGTTACTTTCTGTCCTTTGTTTTGCAGTTTATACAATCCAGAAAATGATCTATGATAGCCACGCTTTAGGCTCTCAATGAGTCTAAGTAGCATGGCTCAGGACACGAGGAAGTAGTTTGGGGTCTGAAGTGTAAGGGTCAAATCCCATCTCCAGAGCCAGCATCCCAGTGAGCTTAAACAGCACACGGCCATTTTCCAATACTCTCTAGACCTTAAAGGCATTTTTTTCCTCTATAAAACTGAACCAAGCTGTCGACACTGGATATCAAGCTTGCTGTTGAGTCTGAAGTCAAATGGCTGGACCCAAAGCACCTGTCCTCTTTCAATCTTCACAGAGTTGCCCAAATTATTCTTATCCACTGGGTCCGACAGGGACTGACAAAAGGTAGAAAGCGTTTTCTTCCCCTTTAGAAAAAAAGAGTTAGAACACTTTGTTTTAGAAAGGCCACCCTCTGATTTCTTTTAACTTTATAATACCAGGGTGACAGTGAGCACCCAGGATCAAACATCAAACAGGTTCAAGCTGATTGAAGCATCTGTCTTTACTAGTGTCTAATTTGATACCTTCCATGGCTAGACTTGGAGTGACCAACTGCTTGAAAGCTTTATACTCACAGTTTGCCTGTCCCTACAGATGGAGGCAGGTAATACGAAAACAAAAACCTTGATAAGTACTCGCCCTCATACAAGAGATCAAGTTATACAGGAGGTTTATTTTTCTCCAGGGAAAGTGATTGATTGGACGTCTGAGGGGCTAATTTTTCTCAGTGTCTGAAAAGGCAGCTGAATAGGAACTTCAGAAGAATTTGGAGACTGGTTTGATCACTCTTGTAATGAGATGGAGGAGTAAATACAGAGAAGTTGGGTAGGATTTGCCTTATCGAACCCACACTTCCTAGTCCATTTGGAAGGGTGGCTGCAGCCTATAACAAGGAACACCTAGTGTGTCTAGTCTGTCCTGGGGAAAGTGCAGTCAGATGGCTTGTCTCTCACCATGTCCTGATTTCCTCCTCTTTGTTTTTCCTATGATAGAGAACAGATAGTGTATAGTAGTCTCCACCAGAGAGTCTGGATTGAGTAGTGGGATTATCTCCTTTACCTGTGGAGTATCTCCAGCCCCTTCCTGATTTCTTTTGACTTGTTTCACTTGTGAGGCTCCTGGTTTCAGCAGTCTGGTACCTGGCTGGTCCATGACAGCTCCTCTTATAGCCCAAGGATCTTTGGTAATGCCATCCCTCGAAACAAAAGATTTGCCTTCTGATTTCTCGGGCTATGCATGAATTGAGGAAAAATCAAAGCATTATTATGCACTTTTGGAGTTTAGCTTGTTCCAGTTGTCCAGAAGGCAAGCCAACAGGGAACTCAAAGGATCTTGGAGGCTTCCATCCCCATCTGTGAAGTAAAGCAAGACTGGAAGAGACTGATGGAAGGTTGCTTAATTCTCCATGACTCTCTCATCTCAGCATCTGGAGAAGCAGCTCCTAGCCATTGGAGGGGAAGGTCAGTGTGTCCTAAGAGAACACCCCTGGAATTGGTTCCCCATGTGAGACTAGTTTGCACTTACCCATACCTATGGGCCTGGTCCCTGACAATTTCATTCACCTCCCAGATAATTTCTGATGCCTCCATTCCAGAAAGTACACTCATTCTCCTCCAATCTTATTTGAGAATGGGCAGATCAAATTTGATAAACCCCTGAAGTCTTGGAGACAGGATATTTTTCTTTTCCTGGAAGCTTATGATGGCTTGAGAGCCTTTTATTTCAGATGATGCAAATGAAAGTGACCCCTCATTTCATACGGAGCTGAGTAGGGAACCAGAGCATCTCGAATAATAGCCTGAACTAGTGATAACTAATGAGAGAGTACCTGACTCTTGGCTTGGCATAAGAGCAGTCCAAGGGGGACAGGGAAGGGACATGTTGCTCCAGGGGAAATAGGGCAGAAATCTCTCTCCCTTAGGGTATCCATAATTGTATGCCCACTCTCTTAATCCATAAATTCATGTTACATTTTTGCCCAATTAGGAAGCAAGTGGTACAAGCACTTATGGTGACTGATTTTCATTTAAAGAAGGCTATGTACATTGGGAAAACTTCTTACACATGTATTGTCAGTGGCCATGCTAGGGGACCAACAGGGAGCATTGGAACCCATGGAACATGGGCAGTTGGCAAAGCCACTCCTGAGTGAGCCTTGGAGAGGCAAAGCTCTGAGGACTAGGTGTCCTGAGGACCTCATGCTGTTATTGAGCAGAGCTCTGATGGTTGCTTTTGCAGTCACTATATCCCTCATAATCTATGATTGGATGAAAACTATCAGGGGGTTGCTAGCCCCTCACTGGGCAGTGTTACTAGTACTTAACAATAATAGTGATTGACTTTTTCCAAGCATTGCTGCTGGAGCAGATTAATGATTCAACCACCACCCTTAGAAAAATTTAGACATGTAGAATTGTTAGTAAAGTTAGGTTAAGGTGTTTTTATGAATTGCTTTGATGTAGAAAATCTTAGGAAACAATTTAAAATTTAGAAAGCCACACTTTTAACATCTGAGTGAGGGACTCTGAGGTCAGGGAACAAAACATGGTAGCCTGGCTATTGCTGGCTGACATACCTTTCTTGCTAGGATAGGCTGGTGATCAAGGGTGGTGATTAATTCTTTGTACCCATTACTTCTCTCAGATTCCTGATATAAAAAAAACTGATGAGTGGGTATGTACCCTGAGGACTTAAAGTAGAGCCAATTGACTGTTTTTCACATATAAAAGTTTAGATTTGTGATTCTTTTAAGATTTCTTATAAGATCACCTTTTGAGATAAATAATAAAGTGATTGGTCCTTTCTTTGTACCTGAAAAATGCAACCTGCCAGTAGTCCACCCAAAGGGTATAAATTTTTCATGGATCTTGCCCATGTTTTCATAAAGAAAGTTGCCCAAGTACCACAGTGGCAAATAGGTTGCCCAGACATTTTGTACTAGTATAAAAGCTTTCCCAGCTGGTAGGAGTGACTGACTCCTTAGTGGTCAGAAGTGGTGTCTCTTAGCTCATGAGTGGTAGTATAAACCACAGACCCACACCCCACCAATTATAAGATTAAAATCTGTTTGGCTGTATGAGATCTGACTACTCCATTCCCTATAGAGTGTAGTCACTTATGCCTTTAATATCCCCAAAGAAAGTAAAAAGTAGCTAACTGGAGGATTTGGCCATGCTAATTATGGATGGGGGCACTCACTCCATGAGACTACTTGGGTCCTGGATGATCATGGTCACTCCCAGGGTTTCCACTGCAATTTTCAGTCAGTTATATTGACCTTGAGTTGAAATCTTCAAATCCAGACAGACCCCTGTAACTAAGGTGGGAGGTCTATGGGTGAGGGGTGATCATCTAGGGTACTGTAGAGTTTGTTCCATGGACTTAACAAAGAATTATATGTCCAGGAATGATGACTGATGAGGAGAAAGCATAAGTCACAGACATGGAGAGGGTGGGAGCCTTAGAGGCAGAGAAAGCGAAAGTGACAGATGGGGAGGAGGCAAAAGCCACAAATTTAGAGAAAATAAAAATAACAAGCTTTGTTAAGGCAAGAGAAGAGCTCCCATTTGGATGGGAGGAGATCCAGAGCTTGGAGTCCACTGAGTGGACTTGATGCTGGATGTTTTATAGGATCCTGGGGCCCTCACAGTTCTTGACTTCCTCCCTTCTCCCCGATTGGTTCTACCTGGGTATCATCCCTTAGAGATACCCTGGGTTGGACTCCTTGTACTTGAAAGAAAAAATAAATAAATTCAGGTCCAACATTGTAGGTGGGTAGTTGAATTGAAACACTCCTTCCTTGAGGGAGGAGCTGTGCTCATGAAGCTCAAGAAACCTTTCAAGTTCTGGAACAAAGAAACTTCCAAGACTCACAAGGAACCCTGCCTGGATTATGGAAGCTGTAAACAAGTGCTGGGAGAAGAAGCTTCCTGGCCTCTTAGGCTGGTGCTGAATGCAAATTTTGCAGAGAGCTCCAGGGATGCACATTTTCTAAGTCAGGATAGGGTGGGCTTTTCCCAGATGCAGCCTTCTTTGGGTCCTCCATTCATCTGTAAGTAACCCTTCACTCAATCTTCTGTATGTAACCTCAAGCTGGACTTTGATGTGGAATTCTATCTTTTCTTATTTTTATTTAAAAAAATTTATTTATTTTACATACCATCCACAGTTCCCTCTCCCTTTCTTTCTCCCATCCCCCTATACCTCCCCCATCTTGCCCCCCCATCCACTCCTCAGAGGGGGTAAGGTCTCCTTTGGGTAGTCAACAAAGTCTGGCTAGCTGAGTCAGGGCCTAGGCTTTCCCCCTGCATCAAGGCTGAAGAAGGTATCCTACAATAGGAAATGGGCTCCAAAAAGCCAGTTCATGCACCTGGGATAAGTCCTGGTCCTCCTGCCAGGGGCCTACAAACAGATCAAGTCTCACAACTGTCATCCACATTCAAAGGGCCTAGTTCAGACCCATGCAGGTTCCCTAGCTGTCAGTTCGGAGACTATAAGCTCCCACTATCTCTGGTCAGCTGTCTCTGTGGTTTTTCCCCATCATGATCGTGAACCCCTTGCTCCTATAATCCCTCCTCCCTCTCTTCAACTGATCTCCAGGAGCTCGGCCCAGTGCTTGGCTGTGGATCACTGCATCTGCTTCCATCAATTACTGGATGTAGTTTCTATAATAGCAATTAGGGTAGTCACCAATAAGTTTACAGGGGAAGGCCAGTTCAGGAACCCTTTCCACTGTTGCTAGGAGTCTTAGCTGGGGTCATCCTTGTGAATTCCTGGGAATTTCCCTAGCACCAGGTTTCTCCCTTGCCCATATCCCTCCCTCTCTGTCCCTCTCCCAACTTGGCCATCTCAATCGCTCAAGTTCCCTGCCCCCATCCCCTCCATCCCAGTTTATCCAGGAGATCTTAACTATTTTCCCTTCTTGGAGCCCTCCATGCGTGTCTCTCTTAGGGTCCTCCTTTTTACCTAGCTTCTCTGGGGTTGTGGGTTGTAGCCAGTTTATCCTTTGTTTTGCATGTAGTATCCACATATGATTGAGTTCATACTGTGCATGTCTTTCTGGGTCTGCGTTACCTCACTTAGGATAATTTTTTTTCTAGTTCCATCCATTTGCCTACAAATTTCATGATGTCATTGTTTTTACCACTGAGTAATACTCCATTGTGTAAATGTACCACATTTTCCTTATCCATTCTTTGGTTGAGAGGCATCTAGGTTGTTTCCAGGTTCTGACTATTACCAATAAAGCTGCTATGAACATAGTTGAGCAAGTGCCCTTGTAGTATGATTGAGCATCTTTTGGGTATATGGTGAAATTATTTCTTTAGTCTGCCATTGGTTCCCTGTATGGAGTAGTACGTGTTTGTCCATACCTCCCCAGGAAACTTCTCCCACTACAGCAGGTGAGTGTCACTCAGAGGCAGATCCTTCTTGGAGGATAACGTCCTGCAGTTCCTGTCTAGATTGCTTTTTCTTTTCCTTCTCTTAACTCAGTGCTAGAGATTGAACATAGGGTCTTGTGCATAGTGGCAAGCACTTTATACTGTGGTACTTCTGCAGGCTGAAGTTTAATCTCAGTATTTTATCTTTAAATTTGTCTGATGACTTGGTGTTTCAGCTCCTGTCCAGTTCTCTGTTCTGTTGCTTTGCTGGGATGACACTCAGGACCATCTTTCCCACTTTACATGGCCAACAACTACAGCCACCCGGAAAGAAGGACCTGACCTGGGATGGGATGTACAAAAATGCAAGTGGGTGAAATGTGGATTGGGTTTTAAAGCCTGTGGGGTCTAAAAGCATTCCTGTCTGAAAAAAAGTGTAACATTGCATGGCAGAAAATCCACCAAGGCATGTTGGGAGAGAGACCAGAGAAGAGAAGAAAAAGCTCTTATTTCATTTTTTTTCTTTTCTGATCAAGAATCATACGCTTTCATTTTGTATTTGGCCCCAAGCATGTCAAGCTTGATGGTGGTTATGTTATAGAAATTTCAGCAGGCCAAGAAATGTGTGGTACAAGGTTGACCCCACCTTGGTCTGCTGGCAGTGGTCCAGAGGGTACCTGGACCGGTCTACTCTAGTGACCAGCCTAGCAAATAACCTAACTGTCATCATAGAGCCTTTGTCCAGTGACTGATGGAGGCAGGTACAGAGATCCACGGACAGGCACCAGGCTGAGTTCTGGGAATCCAACTGATGAGAGAGAGGAGAGATACTGCAGGCGGGGGACATCGAGATCATGATGGGAGGACGTGCAGAGATGACCAGTCACTCTAGTGGAAGCCCATGAACTGTGGACTGGTGGCTGTGGAGCCCCCAGGGACTGGACTAGGCCCTCTGGATACGGAAGACGGTTGTTTGGCTTGAACTGTTTGGGGGGCACCAAGGCAGGGGGGTCGGGATCTGTCCCTGATCTATAGGCATGCTTCTGGAACCTGGTGCCTGTGGTGTGACACCTTGCACAGCCTTGGTGCAGTGGGAAGGGCCTTGGACCTGCCTAGGCTCAGCGTGCTAGGCTCTGCTGACTCCCCATGGGAGACCTCGATTTGGGGGATGTGGGGATGCTGGGTGGTTTGGGAAAGAGGGCTGGGGGAGGAAGGAGCGAGGAGGGGGGAATCTGTGGATAGTATGTGGAGTGAGTAGAAAATTTCTTAATAAAGAAAAATGAAAGAAAAAAATGTGTGGTAGTAGATGTGATCAATTCACAATGATACACATGTATGGAAATGTCATAATGAGGCCCATTATTCTGTATGCTAACTAAAAATAATAATACTAAAAGAATATTGTAATAAAGCACAATTTGAAAAAAAAAAAGTATGGAGTGAGGGCTGGAAGGTCTCAGTTAGGTTGTGCTGAACTAGAACTGACGAGGTCCTCTCAAGTCTTGTAACGATAATCAACTTCCCTTCCAGGATAAAGCACATGCTGAGTAAAACTGGTGTGATCAGCAGGACAGGGACAGCACAGACAGGGAGAGAGACTGGACACCGGTCTATGGCAATTTTGTAGTGTGAAAAGAGTTTGCCCCCTCCAGAGCTCGTGGAGTTCAATGCCCTGTGTGCAGTATCAAGGGGGTAGAAGGCTGGAGAGAAGGCTCAGTGGTAAGAGTGGTCATTGCTTAAACATGAAGAATTGAGTTGGAATCTCAGGCATCCTTGTGAAAAATTGATCATGGCTGTGACAGCCTGTGACTCCAGTGCTTTGGGGTAGGGGTGGGGGTAGAGACAGGAGTATTGCTCAGGCTTGGTAGCTGCTGATTCTGTCTCAAAGGAGTAAGGGAGAGAGCGATGTAGCATGATACTCACATCCTACTCTGGCCATATACATGGGTGGTGCCTGGGGCAGCACACATATGAATATCACAGAGAGAGAGAGAGAGAGAGAGAGAGAGAGAGAGAGAGAGAGAGAGAGAGAGAGAGAGAGAGAGAGAGAAAGAGAGAGAGAAATACATAGAGAGACAGATACAGACACACAGAGAGAAAGAGAGGGAGGGAAGGGGAAGAGTTACAGAGAGAAATTAATCTCATGGTGGTAGTGCTAAAGGTGGGGTCTCTGTGGGCTGAACAGAACTAGAGCCAGCAGGGCAGAGCCCCACAGGTGAATGTGAGAGGCTTTGTAAGAAGAGGGAGAGTGGGGGCATATGCACGTGCAAGTATGCACACTTTCTCTGGCTCCACCCTGGAACTCTGCCAGCAAACTTGCTAAGCTCAGTTGTACAAAAGCAACCTTGGACCTGCAGAACTGTGAGTCAAGGTTAACCTCCTTTCTTTATAAATTACCCAGTCTGTAATTTAGTTTTATTAGCAACCAAGAGTGGACTAAGGACAGGAAGAGAGTCAGAATCTTTCAGAAATCCAAATGTCAAAATTTCTCTCTTGTCTCAAAAACAACAGCTGCGAGGATTCCAATCAAGAGAAGAGCATTTGACAAGTAAGTGTGTGTGTGGTCTTCCCTGGATCTGGCTGGTGGCTTTTCCCAGGGTGTTGCTTCTGCAGTGGATGGTTACTGAAGGTTCCCAGTAGAGTAAACTACATAGTTAGAGAGAATGAGCGGCAACCATCTGGAATCCAGTAGTGTGGACGTGGATGGAGGTCTCTGTTGGATTTTGACCTTTGTGATGTCTGTGTCATGCAGAGTTAAATACACAGATAGCCAGACATTGAGAATGCTGAAGGGGTGTTGGGAAAAGCAGAGCATGGCTTCTGCTTCACACCAAGACCTGTAAGCATCATGTTGTTGTTTCACTCACCCCTCCCAAAAGTCCCCTCCCCCCTCTCTAATCTAAAAGCTGCAATGAAAAGGTTCTGAGAGGCATAGTTTGACCATGTCCGTTAGACTCCATGAAACCCTGCCACTGCACTCCAAAACTCATAACCACACTTCCATTATGAAGGTTTGAAATAACTAATCTCAGGTAAAGTCAGTGATAGGGAAGTATTAAAGACACACAAAAATGTTTTCTTGTAGAGAAAATACAGTAAGAAGGATGAGAAAGAAAAGCAAGCAAAATTAAAGCCTTGCATTTTAAAGAAAGAATTAAAATATATCAACTGATGAAACCTATAACCGGGGGTGGTGCATGCCTTTAATCCCAGCACTTGGGAGGCAGAGTCAGGAGGATCTCTGTGAATTTGAGGCCAGCCTGGTTTATAGAGAAAGTTGCAGGATAACCAGGGATTCACACAGAAACCCTGTCTCAATAAATAAATAAATAAATAAATAAATAAATAAATAAATAAATAAATAAATAAATAGATTTTTAAAATTGCTTATAACGGAAATAGATGCAAAAGATAAGATAACATAAATTAGGTGCTAGGACTCAGGGATGAGATATCTAAAAAGAACATCATTTTATAAATAGCCAAAGGACAGATACAAATAATCACAGTAGTACTCACCTACGGAAAATGTAGAAGAGAAAGATATTTAAAAAGAAGTTGTATGAAGGAGTTGAGAGAAGGTTGATAATGTGAAAGACCTCTTCCTCCTCTAGCTAAAAACAAGAAAGACAAAAACAAAAGCGTTCAGACCAAAAGAGAAATCCAAAACGAGGGAATAAAAGAAATACCAAGGTCATACTCATAACAAGCCCTAAAGACTTGAAACCTTACAAGGAAGGGTTTGGAAATTCAACCCAGAGCTGCTTTAGGATA